ATAAAGCTAGGGGGTGGAAGCTCCTACCTGGAATCTCAGGTCTCAGAGTAAGGAGTGAGGATTCCGAGGACATGGTCTTCTAGTAGAGGGCAGGATGTGCTGATGGGCAGACACAGGGGAGCCCACTGTGGCCTGAAGGCCAAGTAAGGTTTCAGTGAGCAGAGAAGCAGGGAGGCCCTTCAGCTCACTCAAGGACCTGCAGGTGGGAAAGAGTGGTGTGTATCTGTCTGTCTGCCTGCACCGGGGAGGGGAGACTGCCATCATATAGGGTTGGATTGTAGATGCCTAAACATTGGGCTAGAAGTTTAGTCTTTGATCTCCAGGTAGTAGGGAGCCCTTGAGGGCCCTGGAGGACAAGAAGGATCGAATGAGGTCTGTATTCCCTCAGGGGCCCCCGTCCTCCCAGGAGCACCCACTTCAGTGTTTGCAAAGTATGCTGGGTGAGAAAGGAGTGAGCTGTCTGTGCCTCTTCACTCTCTCTACCCAGCAGTCCCTCCCCAGACCCGCCATGCCCAGACACCTCTGTCCTCGCCCTCCTCTCTTCACCACCCTGCCCTCTGGTGTCATCCCCTGAGTCCAGCCCTGGCTTTAGGCACCAGCTGGCAGGAGTGGAGGCCTCAGGCTTCAACCTTCTAGAGGGCCTCTTAGTTCAGTGTCCTCAGCTGGGGCAAGTCAGCGGGCCCTCAGGGGTGGGACAGGAGCCTAGAAGGAGAAAAGCCAGCCTGGAGCAGGTAACTGCTGGCTTGGGGAAGAAGGATGGAGTCACCCTTGGTCCCCAGCCAACCTCAGCTGCCCTACTCCTCCCTGGAATGACCACCCTTGTCCAGACATGCACTACTGGACACAAGCTTTCTTCTCCAGGCAGGGAGAGCCCAACAGTCCCTGGGCTGGGCCTTGGCTCCTGTCCTCCCCACCTCTCCAGGCTTGGGATAGACCTGTAGAGCTTTAGGAGTCTTAGGCCTAGCAGGGTGCACACCCCTGAACACAGAAGGCCCTCAGTCAAGTCTGCCCTGCAGGCATGGTTATCCCACACAGCCAGTGTTCTGTAATGAATAACAATTAGGTATGAACATTTAAAACTCAGGAGTGTTTATTCAAAAGTTCAGATGTTCTAATTCTTTCGAGAAGCCAGAAGTTCTGGTGTCACTGGGCCACACTCTACCCACCACCTGTGACTGGAGCAGAGTGCAGGTGCCCTTGAGAAGGGCCCACCCAGGTGTCTCACTCATATCCCTAATGCCCTAACAGCGGTTGTGATCTTACTACACAATTCTGTTTGTGTCCCAAGTTTGCCAGGACCAACTACCTCAAACTTGGTGGCTAAAAACAATAGAAATTTGTTCTCTCCTAATAGACCTTCCAAAGGCTGTAGGGGAGAATCCTTCCTTGACCCTCAGTTTCCATTTGCTGGAGGTGTTCCTTGCCTTGCAGCTCCATCTCTATCTCCAGGAGGGTGCTGCCTTCCTTCCTCTTCCTCTTCCTCTTCCTCCCTCTCCCCAGTCTTTCCTTCTGAGTAGCTGGGACTAAGAGGCACACACCCAGCTTCGCTCTCTTATGAAGACACTTATCATTGGGTAGATGGTCCTCCTGAATAACCCAGAATGACGTTCTCTCAAGATCCTAAATCACATCTTCAAAGGCCCCTTTCCCAAATACACTCAAATGCACAGGTTCCACCTGCCTGAATGCCTCAGTTAATTCCTCTGTGAAGTGGGGAGAATAATAGTGCCTGTCTCACACAGTCGTGGTGAGGACCGACTGAGTTAGAAGAATGTCTGGCACAAGGCATGATCTAAGCATTAGATCTTGTTCACATTGCTGCTGATCTGACGTGGGAAAAACTTAGCCCTTGCAGCTCTGGCTGGAACAGGACACAGTTCTGGCTAGTTCTCTGAAGCACACAGACCCGGGAAGTCTACCTCTCAAGCGGCCACTAACTCTGATCCTTCCTTCATCTCCCACAGACAATGGCCCTGTAGGCAAGCGGCGCACAGGCACGGCTACCGTTTTTGTCACTGTCCTGGATGTGAACGACAACCGGCCCATCTTTCTGCAGAGCAGCTATGAGGCCAGCATCCCCGAGGACATTCCTGAGGGCCACAGAATTGTGCAGGCAAGTGGGCCATCGTCCCCTAGGGCAGGTGGTGGACTCTGGGCACGAAGGGCATGCCATGGCACTGTGGGGAAAGGGGAGCAAGTCCCCTCCTCCCTCTAAAGAGAGTGGGCCCCCAGATTGTGTTAGCTGAGGACAAGGCCCTTCCCCCAAAAACAGGAAGGCTTTGGTCTCCCTCCCCTCCACCCAACCCTCGCCACTCACTCCCACCCCCAAAAGGCCTTTCAGAACAGGAAAGAGGGGAGGTCACACTTAACGGAAAGGACCTGAGGAGAGAGGGCCAGGGCCCAGCAAGGCCAGAACAGAGCGGCTTTCACAGCCTCTTGGCCCAGGCTCCACTCTTAGAAGAAAGCAGGCGGAAGAAGAAAAGGCTCCTTGGCCCAGAACAGGCGCCACAGCTAAGAGCCCAGAGGGAGAAGGGGGAGGACCCTGAAAATGCCATCCCCTCCCTGCCTCAGGCCTCAGTTGCTGGAATGAATTGCATTCTTCACCAGCCGCCAGGGCTTTCCACACCATCACCACCAAGGCCAAGCCAAACACAGCAAAACTGGACCTGCAGGCTGGGGCTGGCTTCCTGGGCTCAGGAGGGGAGGAAGAGGAAGAGTGGGAGGCTGGGAGAGTGCCCTGCTCCCTGCAGGGGGACCAGGACGGGGCAGGAGCTGACTCACAGAAGATGGAGAGTCAGGAAGCCCAGGGGTGAGCAAAAGTCTAGTGCTAATTATAGAAGAAGAGGGTCCCTCCCTCTGGCCTCTGCTGGGAGGGACTTGGAGAACCACCCACATGAAGCTGTGGCCCAGCACCTGCCACCCCTGGCTCACTTTTAGACATCCCAGAACCCACAATTCGCCCAGACTAGGGGTATAGCAGGCCTTTGAGACCCTCTCCCCACCCCCAGCTGCTCCTTCTCCTTCTCCAGGCAACTTCCCCTACCCCTAATCCTCCCAGGAAGAGAATAAACCTGCTGGCCAGGGAACAATGGTGGGTGATCCTGGGGCAGGGAAGCAAACCAGGAAGAGGCGAAAAAGCAGGAAGGGAGGGAGAAACAAAGCCCTTTGGGAAAGGCCTGTCTGCTGTCTCACCCACAGAATTGGCTTCTATTTACACAATACTACTAGGACTGAAATCCTGGGGTCCCTGAAATACAGGGCTCCCCTGCAAGTTCAGGGTTTCAGGGTGCCTTCCCCCGGGCCCTGTGAGAGGCATCTTGCAGAGCCAGACTCCCTGTCTAAGGTCAGACTGATGCAGAGGAGGACACAGCAGCTCTCCACTAGGGCTTGCTTAGAAAGCAACCTTCCTTTAGGGGCATGCTGGGGAAAACCAGGACTCTGTGTTGTACAGGCTCCCACTAGACTCCCACTGCTTTGAGAGCAGGGACACATGCATCCTAGGCCATTGTCACATAGTAAACAGGCCTTATCCTTCTATGCCTGGAGCTGGTGAGTCAAAGGGAGAGGTTGCACAAGGTTTGGCTCTCTGTGCGCTCCCAGGGTTGTGGGAAGAGGAGACATAAACAAGACTGATGCCTACTGCCAAGAGGATGCTCCTCGGCCTCCCCCAGACAGCTGGGAAAGAGTAGAACTTCCAGGCTGGAAGGCAGTTCCATTAAAGGACAAAGAGGACTTCGTGGTGAAGGTACCCGGTGAGGCATAATCAGTTGCCTGGAGCCTCTAATCAAGATGAAGCTAGAATGATAAGTAGAGTGAGCTCCCAGAGTCTACTGGGTACTGTGAAAGGGGTGTATCCAGTGGGTGTTAGGGAGCCAGTCAAAGTTTTGGAGCCGGGGAACAGCAAACCAGGGCTCAGTCCTTGAGAAGAGTTAGCTGGCTGTGCAGTGGGTTGTAGCAGAATGGGCTGGGGCAGCCCAGGGTGGGGGTCCAGCCAGCTGGCTCTGGGACAGGAACTAGGCAGCTCAGGTCCCCTCTGCCTAGTTTCTGAGACCTGACCAAAGTGCTTTGGTCTCCTTGGCCTTGGGAGGAGAGATCAAGGGCTTGAAATTCTGAGAAGCCCCTCCTGGGTTAGGATGGCTTTGACAGGTCAGTCACACAGACAGAATGTAACTAATAGGGTCCAGGCTTGAATCTCATAGCTGTCCTGGGAAGGTCTGGGCCGTCCCACCTGAGGGAAGACCACCTTCTTCTCAGATGAGGCATGGAACTACTGGGATGTGCCCTCAGAGTCCAAGTGGCATCCACTCCAGCTGCTGGCAGTGGCCAGACTCTTGCCACTCTGACAGGAGTCTCTTAACCTATCTTCAGCCTCTTCCTGATGGATCCTGTCAGAGCGCACAGAAAGGGGTGGCCAAGATGGCAGCAAGAGTCAGGATCCATTCAATACTTGCCCCTCCTTCTGGCCGGCAGCCAGGCAGATGATCCACTGCGAGGGTGCTGGCTGCTCCCAGATCGACAGTCAGAAGTCCAAGGAGAAGATCCCTTAGGGTTCCTCTGCCTGGGGCACTGAGTTGGCCCAGATGCAAGACAGTGCTTCACCCCAGGGTGGGAGAAGATCCCACTTGGCTGGGGAGGGAGGGATCTCTGGTCATTTGACCACTCCTCTGAACTGGCTTTGGCCCTGGAAAGTGAACAAGCCTTCTGTAGGCATAGGGATACTGATCTCAGAAGTGGTAGGGGCCTGGCTGCCAGAAGGGGGCTCTGGGAAGCCCCAGGTTATACCTTGGCGTCTCAGTCCAAGGGCCCAGGAGGTTGTGGGTTCATCTCTATCCAAGCAAGCAGCAGCAGGGGTCTTCAGGGAAGAGGGCCTCTTCTGAGGCCACCACTGGGAAAGAACACAGGCTGGGCACATAGGAAAACACTGGGGGTGAGTGTGAGGCTCAAGGTGCTCAGCCTGTGGTGCTGGGCTCCATCCAAGGCCGGAGAGTCTGCAGGTGGACCAGGAACAGGCCTGTGCATGAATACCCTGTCACATCTTGGTGGATTCTGTGCATTCCCAGCCACCCGGCAGGGGGCGTCGCGGGGCAGCAGGCCAGCTGCGGCGGAAGCTGTGCAAGGAGCAGCGCAAGGAGCCCAGACGCTTCCAGAGCCTGAGCTGGGGCTCGCTGGGGCTGGCCGGGTGGTGCGGCAGGCACTCACGGGCCCTATGGCGGCCTGGGTCCAGCGCAGCTGGCTTGCAGAGTATCATGAACAGCAGGCAGGAGGCCAACAGCAGGAAGATGCAGGCCAGGGCAATGAGCACAGGGAGAGGGCCAGCCACCTCCACAAGAGTCCCAGGAGTGACCGGAACTGTGAGGAAGACCTGGGGGCTGGTAAGGTTGGAGCCTTCTGTGTTCATGGTGCCTGCGACAGACACAGGGCAGAGACTCAGAGACTGATCAGCTGGACCAGGGGCAGGGAGAGACTTGCCTGGGAACATCAAGGGGGCTAAATGGGCTGCTAAATTAGATAGCAGTATTTCCGTATTACAAGTTAGTACAGCAAGGCCCAGAGAGGTGAAAGGCCTAAGAATTGTCACACATAGCTAATCAGTGGTGGGGCTCTGAGGCTGAACTGAACTTGAACCCTCTTTCTACACCCCCTGCCCATCTTCCACAGAGGAAACAAAAGAGTAATTAATGCCTTCTGACACTTTAAAAATCAGTTCTCTTGAAGTTACAAGTCTTAGGCCTGAAAACTTAGGGTCTAGGACCAAGCCCACCAATAACTTGCTCTCTGACCAGGAACAAGTCATAGATTATGAGATGTTTCAGCAATTGTCCAATGCTGACACTGCAAACTAGGAGCCCACACAAACATTGGGTCCTTGCAGTGTTTTTTTATTGTGACTATTTAAAAAGAAAAGGAAAAAAAGAAACATCTGGGATTGCCTAGCATCTCTTAAAATTTCAGAATTTCATCACTGGCCACATTGAGTCATGTTTCTACCTTGTCCCCTTTAGGCAGGGCAGAGGTGAGCCCCCAGCTCCCTCATTCCCCCTCAGCCCACCACACCCCTTATTTCACCTGCTCCTTGTGCCACTTCCTGATGCAGTCTAACCTACTCCCAGGGAAGCTGAGATCCAAGGAGGAGAAGACCAAGCCCAAGGCCACATTGTGACCTTGGAAAGGCCAGAACCCCATGGTCTTTCTGCCCCTCTGGTCCCCAGCCCTCTCTCTGAGCTCAGTGAGCTGCTCCAAGAGCAGGTGGGAAGTCAGGCCACAAGAAGTTAAGAGGGTGGGACTGGAAACCTGCCCAGAGACATCATTCACCTGCCAGGGCATCCCCGTTGTCATTTAAGTTCATCCCATTTACTGGGCACAGCAGATGGCCCTTGTAGAGGGAAAACCAGGCTGAGCTTCTGATGGACCATGTCTGGGGTGGCAGATGATAATGAGTCTAGAGCCCGGCTACAGGTAAATGCAGGACCAAAGAGGACAGGTGACAGAATCCTGGGCAGCCCAGGCTGATGGTCCCAGTGCTGGCACACAGGCCCTGTGTGCTGGGGTTTTCCAGCTTCCCAAGGGAAGCCAAAAACCTGGACCTTTTTTTTTTTTTTTTAAGGCAAACATTTTTGATATTTAAATGTTGGCAACTAATTCAAATTTGTTTAAGGAGAGAAAGATTAGTGTCTAAATGATTCTAAAAAATTTGAAATGAATTTTCAAATATTTGAACCAAAACACGTAAGCTGATGGCCAGCACTTGTGAGCTTTTGAATCCTACAAACTCAGCAGCACAGGAAATCCAGGAGTATCTAGTGAAAACTCATCCTTTCTCTCTGGCCTTGGAATTTCTCCTGGGCCGGGGGATGGTGCAATTTCCTTCTTCCCAGCATGTAGCATCGTCTCACTCAGGTTCGAGGGTCAAGAGTCTAGTTCCAAAACCCAATCATGCCAAGTCTCTGCATGTAGCTGTAGGGACTCCCTGTCAGCAGTGGGATTGGAGCATATTCACCCAGTCCCCCACCCCAGTAGCCCCTGTCCCACCCCAGCACTCACCAGCAGCCGCAAGCCCTAACTCCTGGCTCCTGTGCCCAGCCAACTGTGGGCATCCAGAGCTTTCCACCCGCCTCCCACCCGTCCCCTACCACCACGCCTCCCAGCCCTTCCAGACAGAAAATGACACCTCCCAGCTCCAGGCTGGAAACTCTGATGCCTGTCTAGTGGCCCAGGGCCTCCGCCTTCCAGGCCTCAGGCCTCGAAAGTGCTCTGACTGGGCATACGTAGGTCAGCCCTAGCCTGGAGTCTGAGCAGGAGGAGGGATGGGGCATACCCACTGCCATCTCCCAGGAGAAGATGACCAGCATCCTTCTATCATTCTGCATCACTCTGGCAATGCTTGACCAGAGTGAGAAGAGGGCAGCCTGAGCTGGAGAAGCCTCAATCCTACTAGTTCTGATGCTACTTCAGGGCCTTCAAATGGACCCGGAGAACCTATCTGACTGGCGGAGAGGAGCCCATTTTAAGAAGAAAATACCTGGGTTTGTGATCAGCCCCTGGGAAGTTCCTTTGGCAACCAGAGACTCCAAAGGGCTTGGAAATAACCAGATACCCTCCCCAGAGCTCAAGACAGATCAACTGCCAGCTCCCCTCAGCACCCTGGGCTGACCTGCCAGCAAGAGCCCGCTGGTTCCGGGAAAAGTGGCTCCTTCCCAGGACAGTGTTGAGGGCAGCAGGAGCCTCTCCTTCCTCATTGTAGCCCTGCTCTGGATGCATCTCTGCAAGTTCAGTTGAGAACCTTCTTGGTTCCCTAAGAGTTCCACAGAGCAGGGTCTGTGAGAGCAGAGAGGACTGCTGTGTGATCGTGGCCTAGTCACTACCCCTCTTTTGGCCTTGTTTACAAGCGCCACAGAGCAGAGGTATGGCCCAGTCCTAAGTACACCCTTATGTTCTTATTGAGTTCCCAGAAATGGTCCCACCCACTCTCCTCACCAGTTCTGCTCTGCAGCCCCCAGCACTGACCTCAGGGCCAGCCTCAGCCAGCTTGAGTGTGGTCGCGAGGTCTCTCAGCTGTCCAAGGAGGCCCAGGGAGCACCAGGCAGCCAGTGACCAGGCTTTGCTGTGTGCCCTGTGCCCTCAGCCAGCCAAGCCAGCAGAGTGGGCCTCTCCCCTGCTCTCCAGCTGGACCTGGCTTCACTGGGAGAGTCCTGGGCCTGCCTTGGGAGAGGGGACAGCTGGGAGGGTAGGGATGGCAACTGGGTGGGAAGATGGAGAGGGGAGCCCTCCACTCGCCTCCCTCCATCCTGTCTCCTTGGAGCTCTCTTAGAGGCAGAAGCTCTAGAGGGACAGAGCGAGGTCTTAACTGCCTCTCAGGCTCCATGGCACTCACCTTCCCCCTTGGAAGTTTGAATGGTATGGTCGGAGCAGCCAGTGAGTCGCTATTCAATGTCTGCCAGCCCCCAGGTTACCGGGGAGAGGGGCTACAAGCAGAGAGGCAGCGGGAGGGGAGCGGGCAACTCCCAAAGCCCCTCCCTGGCTCTTCAGAAAAGCTTCTTCCCTGTGAAGGTGTCTGGCTGCAGAAGTGAAGGTGAGAGGCCTTTTCAAAGGTAAAAAGACCACAGGCAGAAAGCCCAAGACTTAGGGACTGCCAAAATTGTGCTCCTCATAGTTTGAGGGTTCCCTCCAACACACACACACACACACACACACTCGCTCCCCTCCCCCAGCCTCCTTTCTTCCCAGATGCCAGTGCTTCCCTGGTAACAGGCAGTCTGCTTAGGAGCCCAAGTCTTGAGCAACTTCTCCACCAGGCTCCCCAAGCGTCCAGGACACAGCGTGAGAGGAATAATGGTCTGGATTAGGACTGGCACCTGGAGCAGTCCCATCTATTAAAGCCCCAGTTTTGGGGTTTCAGCTTTTCCCTCCTGCCAACCCCAAAATGGATGGGAGCCTTCCTATGGACTGGCAAAGTTGGAGAGAGCCTTAGGGGCATCCAGTGTAGCCCCTCTCCCTCAGATGACAAGGTTGAGCTCCAAGGAAGTGTGACCCAATGAGTGCAGGGTCACCCAATGAGGTGGGTGGGGACCCAGGACCTTCCCTGAACTAGGTGGACAGGCACAAGCCACAGGTACAGGCTGTATAGGAGCAGCCTCCTGAAGATGGTTCAGATATCCTGAGTCCTGTTAGGATTCCCACATCTTCTATCTGGGACCACACTGCCCTTACTGTAATTAACATCCTCTTCCAAAATTGATTAGATACTGTATCTGTGGTCCCTGATATCCTGAGGTGACAGAATGCAAAACTTCCAAGGTGGTGTGGATCCAGGGGAAGGAGACATGGAAGAATGTCACCATGGATGGACACTCAAAGGCATCCTTTGGGCAGCTCTGCCCTCTCCTGTCCTGGACTGTCAAAGCACCCAGCTCCTTACACTTTTCAGAGAGAGAAAAAACTCCACAGCAAGGAGCACCTAGCTATTCCCAACCCCAGTATAAATCAAGAAGGCCTCCCTAGAGAGGGTAGCACAACCCATCTTGCCAACCTACCCCCAGTCTCTGTGCCAGGGACAAGCAAGGTGTTCTGTGGGATTACTTTTACCCTTCCTTTCAGCCCTGAGAAGCTGGTTATCATTATACCCAGTCACTGGTTATCATTGCCCCCAGTCTACAGATGAGGAAACTGAGGCTCAGGATGGTCAAGTACTTATCTGTGGTCTCATAGCCAATAAATGGCAAAGCCCAGATTCACACTTAGGCGTGCCTGACCCAGAACCCTAGTTCCTCCTGTTCCAACATACGCCCCACAAACCCACCTTTCAAAGTCTTTAGACACAGTCCTTAGACAGTCCTTGCCTACTCCTCCAGTCCAACCAGGCCAGCATCGGCCCTCAGACTGGTTGTCCTCATACCATGCTCATCTGTCACTTCCTATACTCTGCATTCTGTTGAGGCTGCCACAGTAGCCACAGTTATCAGGGCCCTGTGCCACTCCTCTAGCCAGATCCCTCAGCTGTGTCCTGCAGGAACTTTTACAAGGGGCTCTAGTCCCTCCCCAACCCTGTCAGCAGCCTCTAGTCTCACAACCCTCTCTGCTAAGCCAGGTCTTCCCATCCTTCTGACCACTGCTCTTTCCTTTGGGGACCCATGAACATCCCATCCCTGATGGCCTCTGCTGACTTGATCTTTGCAAGCAGGAAACTGTCCACCTCTTCTCTGGAAGTTTGTCCAATGGGCAAAGATAGAAAAGTCTGTATTAAGGTTTGGGGTGGCGAGACATAGAAACCTTATTCTAATTACCTCGGTGAAAGGGGAATTATGCTGGAGCAATCCTGGGAAACCTCACAGGATCAAGGGAAAAATGAAACAGGAAGAACAGGTACAGCTGAGCACCTGAATTATCAGAGACCAGGGACCC